TTTTTATAAATAAAATTTTTGAATGAATGTGTATTTCTATCACATTTTTGAGTGCGTAAGTGCATGGTTATTTATCATAGTAAAACTGAATATTCTACATATAAGAAAGAGGATAATAAATAAATTTTATATGCATATCATGGCAATGGAAAATTTAAAATCAGGGAAGCTATTGGTGATAACTCCTCATAACAGTAAGATAACATTTTAGGATGAATAATTGCTAGATGTACTTTGTTAGTTAGAAAATGGCTCCTCATTTGTTATAAATTTATTAATTCATCATATTTACTTAAAGGCTCATTTTGATCTTGAAAAATCAAGGAACTTAAAAGCTGAATTTCTGTAAGAACCCTATCTATTTAAGCTATAAGCATTTGTTGAAACTTTTGAGAAGGTCATATTTTGTTGTGATATTAAACTTGCTAGAAAAATACCTGTAAAGAATTTTTTTTAAAGCTTTTACAATGAATTGTTTTCATACTTAAAATTTACGTTTGTATTTTTTTTAACTCTACAAAGTTATCATTTTTTTGCTGACATAGCTAATGATAACAATTTTCCTTCCTTTGTGTCATAAATATCTGGGACTGTTCCATATTCGTGTTGTCATCTTATTAATTAGCAGTTCTCACAGATTAAGATCAAAATTAAAAATACAGCAAAAGACAATAATGCCAGCGGATGAAAAGATAATTTTCATTAATCAAACCTCTTATTTGTGTGTTTAAGAGTGCAACTGAAAATGAATTTGCTGAGTTATGAGAATGTAGCTTTGTGTTTCATCATAAGATATTGCAGTATACTAATGTATTTCTTGGTGACCGTGAAAGTTGGCAGATCCCAGCAAACTTACATAACCATAAGAGTGGAAGTTTGAAGGAACAAATTGTTGTTTATTTGGTTAGATAACTTCTATTTATTTAATTAAATAGTTTACAGTTGCAAATTATAAATGTAGCTTTTAAAAGAAATAAATATGGACACATTATATTACAAATAAATTCATGAAAATTAGTGCAAATCATTTTGACAGCCATAATCCCTAATACTGATTTAAGTAGTAACAAAATTGTTGCCTACTTTGTGAACTTGGTGCCACATACATTTATTAAACATGAATCTAAGTGATGTTGCACAATTCTGTAGTTCTTAAACTGTATTATTTTGCCAAATTCTCAAGTCTTTCAATGTTTCTTAAGTATGTATACCAGTACAGTGAGTCACCTAAAATTTAACTTCTTAACTCCACTATTTTTTATTCTGTAGAAGATCCAAAATTTTAATCACATCTTCATAATGCAAGAGGAAACTAAGAAATAGCAGCTAACTTATATTTTTCTTTACAAAAACTAAATTGACTTGTTGGGATCAGGTTTGCATAAAAATAAAGTTCTTTTGAGTGTATTGCGATGTTATGCTTATTGAATTTTTAATAGTAAATCACACTGTCTAATGACAGTTTCTATTTATTGAAAATGGTTGACAAGAAAGTACATAATTATCATTATGCATTGTTTACGAGCAAACTGATTTCATGTTGTCAATTTGTGTTAAATTTTTGATTGATATTTATTACTGAATTTCTAGAAATATTTAAATACTTACAGCTATATTTTGTAATTTTCTAACAATAGTTAGATGTTTCAAGTTTTCATCTAATTATTTCAGCTCCTACTCTTAACCCCATGCAGTTTCGAAATATCCAAGTTTTCTCCATGATGAAGTCTTATCTGATTAATTCAAATGCAAAAGTTGGCAAAGGATGTAAGCTGAACCTGTTTTTCTCTCAAAGAAATTATCTTATATCATTGTTATAATATTTAATGCAAAATTTAAAAAAAAAATTGTTATCATCTACAGCAAAACAAACCCTGTCATTTATGGGTTGCAGTTCTTTGGAAGATTTGAGTCATTCCCTCCGAGAATACTGCATGAGAATAATTGATCAAGTTGATAGGCGTTAGTAATATTTTTTATTAGTATTTAACCATGAGTAATTTGTTTCTTTAATATTTGTTTTTATATTTATCATGATGCAAAATAAAATGCTGTGCATAGCAATCTGTTGTTAAATTGCATTTTTAAGGCTGTTAATGTAAGTTGGGTGTATGTGAAAACTTGCGTTTTCAAATACCTCTTTAAAAATAGCAGTAAGGTCTGGGACAGTGATTCCCAGCTTTTTTCATATGACAGCACACCTCACAAGTATAAATAATGCACTGTGAGGGAATATTTTTCTGTTAACATGATTAATATCTAAGCAATTCATTCAAGTTATTAAATTAATAAAATCTCTCTCTCAGATTTTGCATTATAATGCATAAACATACCAGGTAGACATTCATTTTAATAAGACTTTGTATGCAATCATTGGCATGAAATGAGCAAAACAAATGAAATAAAAATACCTAATAATACATACATCTTCAGTGACTGATGCATCTTTAAACTCAGTTTCAAGAGTATGGTCCTCCTTTTCTTTTACTGATTAATCAATTGTCAGGCTATCTAATGAAGATGTAAATGAATTTTGAACCCAGTTGAATTTATTTGTCTTCGCTAATTTAGATTAATAGTAGCTGTTGATTTTTTTTTTTTTTTTTTTTTTTTTTTTTTAACTACGACATTGATTTAACATTTCAAGAGAACCATTTTTTCACCATATCTTCACAACGTGGAATTTTGTTTTGGAGTCTATTAATTTTGTCATACAGGCTAGTGTATTCTCAAGTAGTTCTTGCATTTTCTGATTAAGTTCACTTAGGTACTCAATTATGTCGGCTAAGTAGGTTGATTTTTGCAACCATTAATTGTCTTCTAATTACCTGCCCCACTAGCAGCCAAGTGATACAGTCGCTGAACACTGGTAGTTCGATCCAGGCTTCAAATGCCAGCAAACACTGCCTGGGAGTTTTCATCTTCTGTAATGTGTATAAAACTAGTTTTCCTTAGAAAGTCCTCCTTGCAGGTATTCTTTTCCTTAGGCAAATAGCCCTCTAGTATTTTGCCGTAATCAAATTTTTTTTCAACATTAGAATGAACAACCTCTCTTGGCAGCTATCATATTTCAATGTGATACAAGATTACAATAAAGATTGATGCTGTAACCCCTTTTCGTCTCATAAAATTGGGGAAGGGGGAAAGAAAGACATGTTTGAAGTGGTCTGCTTTTGTCCACATTCATTCTTCTAATGATATTATTAAATGTAAACTTTAGAGGTAAATTATTCAACATGAAAGCTTCTCTATAAATAAAGAGCATACTGTATGAGCACCAGGATTTTCAGACCAGACTTCTGACACATAACATCTGCCTCTTCCTGCTGTTGGAGCCATACCATCAGTACATAAACTTATGTAATTTTTGCATGAAATTTTTTTTTTGTATCAAAATATTAATTAATCCCTTTCATTTTAGTCTGCTGGTACTATCATTCCATAATTGGATGTTACAGTTTTAATTACTATTCTTGTGTGGTGCACCATTGTGCTGCGGTATGTGGATTGGGAAGCTCTGGTTTAGGGCATTGAATGAAAGCTACCAAATGTCACAAAACTGTGAAAGATCTCATTCAGGAAATGCAGCAGCTAGTATTCTGAAAAATTATATACCCATTCTCCATAATATTTCTTTCTCACTTTGGTGTTAGTCAGTAGCTCTTATTCAATTCCCTGGACTTTACCACAGTACACTTTTTTAATTAAGATATTTGAAAACTCAAGTTTTCACATGCACTTTACTTGATATAAACAGCCTTAAAAATGCAATTCATTTAGGGAATTATGAATATTATGCAGAACATTCTAAGTTGCATTGTTACAAAAATATCTAGAAGATGATAGTGCTTTGGCTGTAATATTCTGTAGATATTGACTGCACTGAAAAAGTCAGAACTGTTTTGTGAATCTAAGATATCTTTCCTAACTATGTTTAAATATATTTTTTTACTATGTACAGCAAATGAATTAGGGCCAGATTTACAGAACTGGAGGCTTGAAGCCAAAACATGTCATGGAGCCCTACTGTCTATTTTTTTAATGTATTAGTTGCATTAATGCAAATTATATTTCATAAAAGTATTTTGTGAAATGACCTTGCAATGTAGTATTTTTCTTTGAAAGTTAGGTAAACAAAAGAGTGTATTTCTTTTCATACTCTTAGTTTTCATGGTTTCAGTTTAAGGATATGTTGTGTAAAACTTATATATTTTAAAGTAGGATCTTTTTACACCTCAACCTCTCTGAAAGAATGCTAAAAAAATAGTGGGGAAGCCTTAAGAAATCTTATTGATTTTAATACAAACCTGGATAAGTTTGTGAGTTTGTGATTGTACAGAGTTCTTCCAGAGTTCGCTTCATAGAAGGATGAGTAGGCATGGAACAGGATTCGTAGCGGTCCTTATAAGTGCTTATAAGTCCTTATATTTGAAAATAAAACATAAAGGCCCTTATAGATTCTTACTTTTTCTTTAAAGCCCTTATTTTTTTGTTTTTAGTGCTTATTTTTTTGCTTTTAGTGCTTTTTGTTTTTAATGAATGCGCTATTTTTCCCCGTACCAAAGCCAAAACTAAATAAACAACTTTTCTTCCTAATATGGAATGTCAGATAGTGAGTCATACTCCCGGAAATAGCTTTTCTCCCTTTCTCTGCATTAACATAACCTTTGGTGTGCACGAAGAGTACAGACAGGTGCCCATCGTTCTATTGGTCAAAGAATTGCGAAAGCAATTGAAAATTCTGCTACATTCGGCATTCTTTTCCTCCCACCCCAATACTACACACGTTTGAATTTCTATCAAGATCTTAAAAAGATTTGCATTCTTGTTCCGCTTGGTCAGTTCATATTCGTGTTTATTATGATCGTTATGCTTATATTATGAGCATATGTATGAATGTTTATAATAACATAGTTGCAGTAACTGCTGAAGTACAGTAAACTTCCAAAAATGGTTGTGTTTTAACACAGATTATCTTTCTAAGGAATAATATTTGGAATGGCTTAAATAAAGGGAAAGTAATTGAATAGTCAAAATAGTTTCATTTTTTTGGCCAATACATTATACAGTACGAAGGTTGGGAGGTCTCTCCTTTCTCCGCAAAATCTTGAATATTGAAACTGTTACAGTTCGCTGCAAAACAAGTGACGGACCTTTTTTTTGGGGATGGGGTCACTTTCCAATCTGGATTGAATAGGACTAAAAGTTCTGCGGTCTACCAACCCAAGCGAAGAATGATTCTATTCCGGAAATTTAACGCCGTCTGTTGAAAATTAGAATGAGAAAGCACTCCCAGATTATTTAAGTTCTCCTTCTTTTCCTTTATTTAGTTCTTTATTCTTCGGTTACCGGCAGCTGTTGATTCCGATTGTGTAATATCACGTAGTGGAAGAATTACGGTACCGCATGTATTGCGCAATAACATTTGCGATATTTTGCAGAGATAATTCAATTTTGATGTTCAGTCCGAGATTTGTTTATGGAGCACTTAGAAAGGGTTTTACTGTGTTATGCTAAGCAAAATATTTTTTAGTTCCGGTTGGTTTATTTTTATATGATGCACACTTATTGAAAATGTCAAAAGCATTTATTTAGCGGAAAAAAAAAAAAAAAATCTAAAAAGCGGCCACAGTCTACCCCTCCTCCGCTCCTTTAAGTTACGCTCGACTGTCCGAATATTCGCCAATTTCCAAGTATGCGGGTTAGTTAAGCTTTTACTGTTAAAGATGACTGCATGAAGCAAATTTCTGTCTTCTGATTTCAGAAATGTTCCTCTTTTTTACTTAAATTACTTTGCTTGCAATATCTGTTAAGAGAAAACTGTTACACAATGAAAATTTAGAAAATGTTCAGAATTTCGATTTAAATTATTTAAATATCAATATGAGTAGAAAAATAAATTGTATTTATTATTAGGTTCCAAGCGAATACAATAAATATGCCTTATTATTATTTATTTTCTCTATTTTGAACTGAAATTTCATCATTAAATCTTGTAATATAGTTTAGTTCTTCATAGTTTTTTTTTCTCTCATTGTAAACTAGCTCTGTAAATTGAACTATTATTTAAAATTAAAAACAAAAAAAAAAAAAAAGTAATTATTTTCCATGGTTGAGGTCCCTTATTCTCTCTTAATAAGTACTTCATTTCTCATATTTTAAATTACAAGTCTAATTTTTAAGGTTATGCAGTTATGTATGATGTAATTAGGCAGGTGCTTATTTTTTTTCTTAAAATGTGCTTGAAAAGTGCTTATAGGTGCTTATTTTTTTAACTAAAATGTGGCTATGAACCCTGTGGAAAAAAATTTTAAAACCATCAGAATTGCTTCCTGCTGCCGCTATGCATTTCTTTAAGGTGGCAACTTCTTTGGTGACAGCAGCAAAAACCCTGTCTTTCATTTGTTACTCAATTTGGTATGCAGGAAAGGTAACCACAAGCTATCTTTGTATCACCTCTCGCTCTTTTCTCACTGGCATTCAATTCTACTTCTGACACAAAAAATCTCTATGTGCATACGGTTTTGTAATAGATTGAATGCATACAGGCCCAATCATAGGTTGATAAAATTTATGGTACGCTCCTGTTATCGGGACCAGATTCAGGAAATGTACAAATGTATTGCTGCGTGCGTACGGGTTCGTTACGAAATGAATGCACTAGTCCGATGAAGAATTTTCTAGTACTTTCTCGAAATCAAAAAGATATATTTATTAAATGTTAATGCACACGCTCTTGTATTTTCAATTTTCCGGCTTAGCTTTCTTTTAATATTCGTCATGCGCTGCACTGCGTGGGAAACAAAACCATTTAATTTACAATTCAACTAACATAAGCTATTTAAATGCCAAATCCGTAACACTGCCCCCTTCCTAAGGACTGCACGTCCCGGTCAGTACAATCCCTGGACGGGAAGCCAAACTTACAACTGTGGCATAAATGCAATAAATAAAACAAATCA